CAACGGGACGGAGGGAGTACTAAAAGTCACGAGCTTTTCTCAGATGCTACACCCAGTAGCATCTTAAAAAAGATCTTTTAATTTTTTAAGAGCTCTTAAAAAATGTCATGCCAAACATACAACTAGAGTCTTTTAAGGTCTTTTTAAGGAATAGAAAATCTAGAAGCTAGAGCCTTTTGTGTGTCAAACATAGCCTTAATGTTTGATATCAACAAAAAAATACTAAGATTATTTGAGCAAATACCATTAATACATTTACACTTTTGTGCTTAATGAGAATGAACAAAAATTAATAGAATAGTGAAAAATGTTACAATTTTTTGTGTGAAACGAGTGGTAATTATTGCTATAAACTTTCTAGTACGAAGTACCTTTATTAAGTTTCTAAAATACTGTATGAGTTTTCATGCCAAATTCATTGGATTGAGGACTCATGTGGTTAGATGCACCTTACTAGAATCGTCGTTCAACCAAACCCATTTGAGGTACCTTTAACAGAAATTTTCCAAATACTCGTAAAAACGTTTGAAATTTTAAAATAGGACTATTTTTTTATTTCTTGAATAAGATTAAATTGCTAAGTTTGGAAAGAAATGTAATTTTTAAAGCCTAATAATGCCAAACTTGACAGAAAACTACTTGTATTTAAAGAATAAAAAATGACATTTTTTTATTAGAACATGGGTTGTCGACAGCAATTGTACTTGGAGTGAGTTAATTATCAAAATAGGACTAAAAGTCATTCACTTTGCACAAATAGGACCAAAAATTAAACTATGTTTCCATAGGACTAATTATGTGTGTCTTGGACAAATATACCCTTATACCTATTGGAATGTTTTAATTCATAATAAAATAATAAAAAATAATAAAAATTCGTAAAATATACTAAAAAATTAATAAAAATATTTTGAATAATAATAAATTTTTTTAAAAAAAAATTAAAAAAAAATCAAAAAAAATATTTTTTTGTCACCGCCGCCTCTGCCGCACCACCACCTCTAGTCATTTTGGGAAAAAATGCCAAATTTATTATGAATTCTATATTTTTGGCATAATTCAGAATGATTTAAGATGGAAGAAAAAAATGTTGGCATTGTCAAAGAGAAATATGCCATATTTTTGGCATTTTCCAAAAAAAATGGAAGTTTGTAGGAAATATGGCATTTTTTTTAACGGTCGGAGGTGGTGGTGCATGGAGGCGGTACTACCACCTCCTGTCACCGGGGTAAAAAAATGCAAAAAAAAATTATGAATGTCATATCTTTGGCAAAAGTCAAAAGGATTCAAGTTGGCAGAATGAAAATGTTGGCATTCTCATAGAGAAATATGCCATTTTTGTGGAATTTAAAAAAAGTGGCATTTTGTACACCGATCGGGGGTGGTGGTTCAGGGAGGTAGTACAGGCGGTGGGAAAGGTATCCGTATTTTTTTTAATTTTTTTTTATGGAGTTTTACTATATTTATTAATTTTCAAAAAATAATTAAATTTTTTTTTCTTATTTTTTATTTTATAAAAATTTTATTATTTCTTTTATTATTTTTCTACGAATTATTGAAATTTTTTCGAATTTATTATGAATTAAACATTTAATTATGACTTTTAGCTATCTTTTATTAATATTTAAAGAAGGGGTAAGAATGAAAGGAAGAAATGAGTATGTTTCCAGTAGTACCACTATGGTCCTATTTTGGAATAAAAAACATAGCGAGTCCTATTTTGAGTTTTTGTCATAATTTTAGTCTAATTTCTATCGTACTTGCGTGTGGCGCTTGTCTTGCATCTTCTGATCTTCAGACCCTATATACGAACCTGACCCCTAATTGTACTCATCTAACACAAAATGAAGACTTCTCCTCCATTGCTCAGATCATTCATCCTGCTCTCTCTCTTCTCCTCCTTCCTCTTGCATGGGGAAGCTGAGAGTTGGAGTACGACCGTACTCGACGTCCACGGGAACGCCGTCCAAAGTGGCGTCAAGTACTACGCGAGCTACCAATACAATTCCAAAAGAGGCTCCTTCCATTATCCGGAGCACGATGATGCTCCATGCGGGAGCAGCGTCGTCGAAGTGGGCCCCAATGTGACAGGGGACGCCATGGTCTTCTCTCCGGCGGTGCCTACGAAGCACGGCGCCGTCAAGACCAGGGCGAATATCAACGTCGAGATGTTCCCCAGCGGCGCAAACCCCGGCAACTGCTCCGACGTCTGGAGAATCTCCGGCAATGATCCCGAGGACGTGGACACCGCTCACTACGTCGTGAACGGCGGAGTGAAGGGGAACCCGAGCAGCGCGACGGCGGTCAACTGGTTCATGATTGTGAAGGCGGTCAACGGGTACAAGTTTAGGTTCTGCCCGGTGTCCTTGTGCGACTGCAACCCCGTGTGCCAAAATATTGGCTTCTCCGTCGACAAAGCGGGGAACTGGCTGGTCCAAGTTGGCAATAGCTTAAACCCTTTGGTGGTCAACTTCGTCAAGGCCTAGCTTACGTGGCATTCATTCATCACAAATAAACTCATCCACTTGGATGCTTCATTTATGCATTCATAATAACACGTGCATCAATAATACTACCTTGTTCCTATTGTATGTACGATTGCACTAATTAATTAATGTAAGGGAACAGTACGTACTACTGTACTACTCGCCTAGTCGCACCATGAAATGAAACAAAACTACTTGCAATTTTCGTTTTTTTGGGCCCATTTAGTAACAAAAATATTTTCTGTTTTTCCATAAAAACAGGAAACATGTTTATCAAAATGTTTTCCATAAAAAAAATCGAAACAAGTTTCACTTTTTACGCGTGAATTGGAAAACAGGCTTATATGCGTTTTCTATTTTTAGAAAACGCGGTGCTACAGTAATTTCATTTACTCGCTGGCCTTCATCTTCCTATCACCATTATTGCCTTTCATTTCTCCCTTACCTTCCTCCGCCTAACTTCATTACTCGGCTTTAACTAATCTCACCTTCCTCCTCCGCTCCAGCTTAAAAGTCGGAGGTGAGCTTTGCCAAACACTGCACCTCTTCTCCAAGACGCCACAACTTCAGATTCGTGTGAGCAGAGCTTCCCTACCTCTTCCTCACATGGCTACCACACTCCAGGTTCACAAATCAGGCCATCGCTGCTAGGAGCTGAGCCCCGACATCACGTCATCTCCCTGTTCTTCCGTAGGCTCCTGTTCTGCCAATGATTTGAAGGTAATTAAGCTCTGAAACTCAATAAATTTTTCAACTTTTCTTTTTCAAAATTGAAATCCGATTGGAATCTGAAAACCAATTCAGTTTCTTAAGCCTGAACTTCATGGTTAGGGTTTGTTTTTCTTAATTTTACTTTTAGCTTTATAGCTTCGTTTGGAATCATTAAAACCAATTCACTATTACCTTCAGTTATTTTCATTTCTGGTAATTGTTGTTGTACTAGTCTATGATTAAGGCTTATTTGAGTTTGTAATTTATATACTACGTATATACTTTTTTATTCTTGTTTTATGCTTTGAGATGTGTAGTCCAGGTTAGTAGTTACTTCGTATTTTATTATGTACTTTATTTGTGTAGTTTAGTAAGTTTTATTAAGTTGGTAATTAATGGAGATTGGGGAAAAATATGTTGTTGTTCAAGGGATACGAATGGAGTTAACCACCCCCCTAATGTTATTGGTTTCTTTTTCAACTATTCAATTATTTTCTTGTACCAAGTATAATACTGAAGTTTACGAATCTCAATATATAATGGAATCCATACAAACTTTGGCTTTGAATGCGTCTTTTTGAAGGTTAATAATCTGAATTTTTAGGACTACACCCTTTTCAATTGTAGCCCTGACATTGCAAACTTAACCAAATGCTTAAGAAATAATCTTTATAGTAAAAAAAAACCATTCTTGATACTACTAGATATTATTAGTAGTATTATTTATTAGCAAATGAAAAGGAATTGTTATTAGATTGAAAAGGGAATTCTTATTACTAACTGACTGTATATTTTCCTATCACATTTTCTGGACTTGAACATAGTTACATATGCACACAAGGTATATATCTACTATTTTTATTATGTCAGCTAGCTTACGGTTTTTCTTTTGAAAGTATGTTTTTCTTTAAATAGTTTATTCCCAACCATAAATTCTCTTGTATTACCTGTATCTTCTCTCCCTAAGTTTACAACTTTTTTAGTTATTTTCATTCCTGTTAATAAACCGTTTTACACTCCTCGCTCTGTTCTCTCCCTGTATTCTTCTTTTATGCTTTGAGATGTGTACTCCAGGTTAGTAGTTACTTCGTATTTTATTTTGTACTTTATTTGTGTAGTTTAGTTAGTTTTATTAAGTTGGTATTTAATGGAGATTGGGGAAAAATATGTTGTTGTTTTTGGGATAGGAATCGAGTTAACCACCCCCTAATGTTATTGGGGCATTGCTCACAGAGATGGTTGGTTACTTATATTCATATCACCATGTAAGGAATATAAGTAGATGTTCAATTGATCTGTGTTCAGATATTAAAGTGTTCAACATGGTTTAGAAAAGCTTTTAGAGCCACTCTCCTGGTCGCTCATCTCAAAGGTGAATAGAAGCTTCATACTGAATGAACCGAGTCTTTAGCCTCGCATGGTTGAGGCTTTTATGAAGCTTAAGCTGGGAGGTGCTTTGTTAGACAAAAGCCTCATAGTTTTTACTAGTGCTTTTCAATTATAAGAGTGAGCCACATACACGTGATATAAGAATCTATTAAATTGTGTACTTCACATTCGTCATTAGTATTATGTACTGCATATTACTCTTACTTGATAAAATTTACTCTGACTTGATAAGAAGCTGTAACATGTGGGGTTAAGCAGGCACCTTTTGACGTGTTCTATAGAAAAGGCAGTTTGATAGACGTTTAGTTATATATGGTTAAAGGCAGGTTATATTTGGTTAAAGCCAGGCAGGTTTTAAAAACGTTTAGATATACATGGTTATATCTAAAATGTTGTTAACACATTACAATTTGCTACAATTTTGTGGTAGATGAGTTTAACTCAAGAAGAAAAGGATGATGACATATGGCCTGATGAAAAAGAGACTTTGTTTTTGACTGTGCTATATGAAAGAGTAAAAAAAGACCCAACCGGGAATCCAACATTTAAGGGTCGAGACTGGAATGATATGGATAATGAGATGTTGGTCCGAGGTCGTTATCAATATGGTAGTGACAGGCTACGGGGAAAGTACAACAGGATGAAGCTCATACATAGACAATTTGGTCAGTTATTGGCTCATACTGGAGTTACATATGATTCCAGCCGGAATGTTGTTCATGCCACAGAGGAATGTTGGCAGAAATTTTACTAGGTGAATGTTTAATTTAATGAATTTATGGCATTTGAATCATATTTTAATTTTTTGAATCATTTTTTGCTAAGATCTTTAATTGAGATATGTGTACCACAAATATGCAGATGAATAAGGGCTTTAAGTGTTTTAAAAGGAAGGGTTGCAAGAACTATCCGTTAATGAATCTTGTTTTTGGACAAGGAAGTGCAAGTGGAGGACTTGCTACTCCTTCCACCCAAGTACCGACACACTCGGATGAGGAAAAAAGGAATGAGGACGTCTTCTTACATGGTGAGGGGGCATGAGCTCAGAGAGATCGCACTCAAAAGGGAAACGCAAAGTTGAGGAAGCAATGGGATCAAGCAATAAGGACTGGAAGACTGTTTTGGCTAATGCGGTCCACGCATACATGACAACAATGAGTGAAAAAGAACTGAGGGAGTTTTAGGAAAGAGACCGAGCAAAGATTTTCTAGCTTGGAATAGACACTCAAGCAATTTATTCAAAGAACTGAGGCGAGAGATCAATCAATGCAGTCGAGTATTCGAGATATTCAAACTCAACTAAGGGACCTCTCCCTAGCAACACCGAGGATAACCCACGAGAACATGTTCAGGCAGTCATTTTGAGGAGTGGAAGGGAGCTAGAACCTGCTGCCACGAAGAAGAAGCCCGATGAAGTTGAAATTGAACATGTTGCCCGGGAGAAATAAAAATGGAAAGAAGAGGGAAGAGAGGCAGCGAATGCACCAAAACAGCCCGTTCCGGTAAAGAATTACAGCCCACCTTTCCCCTATCCGGCACGATTGACGAGGACGAATGATAGTGACCAATTTGGTAATTTTCTGAAACTCATGAAACAAGTTCAACTTAACATACCATTCGTGGATGCACTAGCACAAATGCAGAAGTACACGAAGTTCATGAAGGATCTGCTGGCTAATGGCGCGAGTTTTCTCACACTTTAAAAGATTGTAGAATAGTGGTGAAAAGTACGAGTATCGTCTCCACGGAGACGGACAAAAGGGAATTAAAGATTAACTAAATTCAGCGATGAAACAAGAAATACAAAAAAACAAAATGCATTTTCCAGCCAAAATTGAATTTAGTCAATTTTCAATTTAATCTTCTTTTCGAAAGGAGTTTTCAGTTTACAATTCCAGCCAAAATCGAATTTAGTAAATTCTGATTTCATATAGGTTGCATTTTCCTCTTACATTTAAGGCAATTTTATAAAATCAATTCTCAGAATCTTTTCCCCAAACCAAATTAATTTTGAAATCAATTAATTAATTTTCTATAAAGTCACTGGTGTCAAGGAGTGTGCATGAATTTCAGTGCTTTGTTAAAATTTAATTTATAGATTGGTTAATATTATAGCACATTTGTTCTTAATTTGAGTGTTTGGTTATAAGAAAGTCATATATGACTCCCTTATGGAATCATATTAGTCATGTGTCCTCACCATTTTGAGTCATAGGTGACTTCAAAGTTTTTAAGTATGTGTGTGCCTTCAATTTTTAAAGTAGTCATGTGTCCTCACCATTTTGAGTCATAGGTGACTTCAAATTTTTTAAGTATGTGTCTGCCTTTAATTCTTAAAGTAGTTATATTGATCTTCTTCCTCATCTTTCATAATTTAATTATATTCAGCCTTTTTGGTATTTCAAAATCTATGTTTCAGACTACAATAGCTTAAATTGAATGCATAAATGGCTTGCGTATAGTCATGATATTCAGCCTTTCTGTGGTTGTGAAGTAGGAAGGAGTGAAGTAAGTTGTATAAATGTATAGATATCAGTGGGAGTTTGTATGATGTTTTTTTTTTTTTTTTTTTTTTTGCATCCCATTCTTCTCTTGAACTGGAAATTTCTTTTCTCTTCAATTCTATATCCTTATTTTTTTCAGCACTCCCATTTCCGTTATTCTTCATTCTTCCGCTACTTGGGGTTGATAATGTTCTGATTGGAGGGATTTATTCACCAAATTTGAATTCTAGACGCTTGGTTGTGAAAGGTAAGGAATTCAGTTCATGTATGTTTCCATTTCATTCTGCTTATCTCTATTTTTGGGTTATTTGTCTTCTAATATATGATAAAGAGAATATAAATATATGTTCTTTTTTGTTTTGGTTCCATGAGAATATAATGTTTAGAGCACTCACCCGGCCCAATCACAAGAAAGTATTGACTAATCGAAAAAAGTTAGAGTTACAACAGAATCTAAATGGGCTTAATTTTGATTTTACAAAAAGGATTATATTGCACTTTTGAATCAATTAAAGAATGTAATAAAAGGCAATGTTGGCATATCATTTCATGTAAGTTAGTTAAATAAGTCAATCTGCAGAAATTGTATCTTTTTAAGAAAGGATAATTTCTTACTGTTGAGCATTATCTTCATAACTGATGCAAACCGTCTGTTCTTATAAAAATATCTGCTAATAAATTTACCCCTTACTATGATTTGTGAAATACAGCTATACTACTTTGTCAAAAAGTTTCTTGAGAAATCTATTAATATTAAAATCAATATTTCTATTCATAAGAGGAATGATAACCAGGGTAAATTATGTCTGGTATGGAAAGCGCAGGTACTACTCTTAGAAAATTTAAAGGTGAAGTTAGATATGATCACATTATATATAATCAACCAACTGACATTGAACTTTTATGAGAAATTACCCTAAATAGGACTAAAAGCACATTTATATTCCAAAAATAGGACTGCCATGTTTTTTTTCCCCAAAATAGGACTAATTACTGCCATGTTTTGGCAGTACCAGGCTTTAAAGATGACAGTATTTTCCAAACTTGACAGTAATTACTCCTATTTTGGGAATAAAAACATGACAGTCATATTTTGGAATTTTCAAACTTATTTAGTCCTATTTCGGGAACTTTCCCAACTTTTATTACTGTCATTATGTAGGTAATCAGTGTGCACAATGACAAATTGGATTCTTGAATAAATATTTGTTGTTCTTCACGAGCTTCTTAATGACCTTCTTGTGGTCATTGTCCTAATATGTTTGAATTGCCTTTACTTCTCTCCTATGGCACCCTTTTATTCAATTTAGATACAGGAGATTAAGCCTCTTTACCCTTTATTTCATTTTCATTTACCCCAGTGCCACAAAGGCTCCCACCTACGGTGGGGTAAGGGGGTCGGATGTACGGAGATTAAGCCTCTTTACCTTTGATTGTCTAAAATCTATCATTAATTAATATGATAGTTTTGGCAAATATGAAATTTATTAGTTTTTGACAACTTTTTTTTTCTTATTGAAGCTCTTCAACTTCATTAATTAAAATGCTTGACTTATAATGGCATGCGTACACAGATTCTGGGTTGATTTTTGCTTGCGTTTAACTTCTCTAAAAAAGACAGGTCTATTGAGATTTTGTAACTGTTGTACTCACTGGGTTGCTCTGTTTTGCTAATGGCTGTTCCTAATGGTAAAAAGGTCATCTTTTTACTCTCTGCCGTGGTTTTTGCATGGTCGTTTTTAAAAATTGTCAACTATATGTAATATGTGGTTTCATTATTTGGGCTCAATCTTAATAAGTTCTTTTTGGTTTTTATTTTCTGTTTTTTTTAAAAAAAAATCATTAGGTTTTTGTATTTTTTTGAGTGAACTAACTTTTACGATAGTATATTTCTTATTGTGCTTTATTTTATTGGGGGTAAGATGTTTTAGGTATGTACTTCATGTTTTTACTTGTACTGTAATTTGTCCCAGACCAGACCAGACCAATCCAGACCAGACCAGACCAGTTCAGACCAGACCAGACTTGGATAGTTATAAAAATACAAAGAAACCAGACCTTATCAGACCAGACCAGACCAGTTCAGACCAGACCAGACCAGATCAGACCAGACCAGACCAGCAAATTACAGTCCAAGTAAAAACATCCTTACTTCACAAGGAGAAGCATATGTTGGTGTGGAGTGGGGATCCAGCTCCTCTGCCTTACTTAGGCAGCCAAGGAGGGTGCTTGGCCATTTTAAACCATCAGATCAAAATATCAATGGCTTAAAAAGAGTGGGTCCATTTTTGGCACAAATCTCTAGGGCTGAGTTTTAATCCCTGCCCTTTGTTTTAGTAAGGTACTCTGCCTTATGGCAGAGGATCTCTATCCGTGGAGTGGAGGAGACGATGTTTGTCTTCTAAAACATTTTCCTATTTTCACCCATTTTGATTTCTTTAAAATAATTATATCATCTTCCCTCAAGGAGAAGGAGAAGCATATGTTGATGACTAAATGTAATTATATCAGTTCAAAATGTAATTGTGCAGTGAAGGACACGATGTTTGACTCCTAAAAAACCTTTTCCTATTTTTCATACTAAAAATAATTATATCATATTCTCTCAATACATCTAATGAAATTAGAATTTGTCAAATAAAATATTTATATCTCACTTTGTTATTATTATAATATAATATAAAGATGATTATATACTATTGTTAAAAGCGTGCAATAAGTAAAGTTATATACCTAGAGTACAATATTTCCATTGTTTTTTAATTGCAACAATTTAACTTTCGCATTTGTCAATACACATTATAAAAATTTAATATTTTTTAAGTAAACATCAAGAGAAATTTAAAAATATTTTATACTCCGTACTTCTCATGTCTTGTTAAGATTGTCCCATTTTTCTTTTTCAGGAAATTTCATTAAGATTGTCTCATACCAAATTTGGTAAAATTTGTGCGACTTTAAATCATTTTTTACGTTATTCTTTTTTTATCAATTCAATATCAACACGTTTCTTAATAACCGTGTCACACCCTCATACTCAGTATTAGTGGGATGAAGGTAGTACATAATAATTTGACTAGATATATTAGTAGAAAATTATGTCAAATAGAGCATAGTAGTGCCAAACTCAAGTGTTGCACTAATTAAGGAACAAAAGAAGCATATAGAGAAAGTGATGTTCATATCAAACCGGTTTAATGAGAACTTTGTCAGGCTAACTCTATATTTGATCGAAAATGAAGTTTATGATTCATTTTTTGTTCATTAGTTTTAACTACTGCCATTTTGTTTTGTTCATATATTATTAAAAGGGGGAAGTTCCCGAAATAGGACTATAACAGTTTGAAAATTCCAAAATAGGACTATCATGTTTTTTATTCCCAAAATAGGAGTAATTACTGCCAATTTTGGAAAATAATGCTATGTTTGAAGTCTGGTACTACCAAACATAGTAGTAATTAGTCATATTTTGGGAATAAAAACATGGCAATCCTATATTGGAATTTTCAAACATTTTTAGTCCTATTTCGAGTAATATTTTCTATTAAAAGTGACGTTCAATTTTTTTGTTCATTAGTTTCAATCACTAGATAATAAAAAGAAAAAAAATCCAAGCTTAAATATGTTTTTATGGCCAATTAAAATTAACAGTTGGATAAGTGTTGGAGGTAAAAATTCTGTCAAAGTAGATCACGATAGTGCTAAACTCAATAAATATAGATACCATTGAAAAGATCTTAAAAAATTAAAAGATCTTACTCCGTAATAAATATTTCTTTTATAAAAGTTGGACAATAAATAAAAACATTATTGTAATTTAAACAAAAAAAAGGAAATGAAATGATAGATGGCAACAAGTGCGCTAAGTGTGTGATGTTCACTCCAAGGAGGGATGAACAAAAGTGCACTAACTCAAGTTGCCTCGACGGGATTTTAGTTGTCTTACTTTCATTTTTTGGTCTTTTCCAAAATGAATGTCATGTTTCCCTTTTTAATAAGAATTTGTAGTCCATATTATTTCATTTCATTCTACTTAAATCTCAGTCATAACTAAAACAAGACAACTATTATGAAACGGAGGTAATACTTTTTATTTTTTACGTATTTTTTCAATCACCTTATTAGTATTGTGTCAAACTAAAACAAGACAACTATTATGAAACGGAGGTAATACTTTTTATTTTTCACGTATTTTTTATCAATAGCTCTTACATAGTAATAGTAAAAATTATAATTGAACACATAGTAACTGTTTCACAAACTATCATACAAGTATATAGTATATACCATGTGTGCATGTGTGACTACCATGTAACTAAGAAACACGTACACACATCTATGGAGACTATTATGTCATTGACATTTTGGTAGTCGACTTTGATTTTTCCATTTTTAGTCATCGACTATTGCACTAGAGCTAGACATTTTTGGTACCCATTTTTGAATATTTACATATTTAGTCCTTCAACTTTCATAAAAGTGACACTTTTGATCCTTCAACTATTATAATAGTGATATTTTTAGTCCTCCATTTATTGTGTCTAAATCATAATGCGAGAACTAAAAGTGTCTCTAGCACAATAGTCGAGGACTAAAAGTGTCTCCAGCACAATAGTCGAGAACTAAAAATGAAAAAATTAGAAGTCAAGTACCAAGAATGTCACTTACATAATAGTTGGGGGACTGAAAGTGGCAAAAACTCCATCTATGGAGGTTTAACCGTCTAAACAATTTTATGCTCCCTATATTTTACAATGTTTATTTTCATCATAATTAATTCTACATTAGAAATACTTTAAAGTAGCAAATTTCTTTAAGACCCAAAAGTTCAAGTTTGTATAGGTATACCATATTTATTCAAGTTTTAGAAATACAAAATATTATTTAATCAGAATATTCCGTGCATCCCGTGCAATACTCGGGTGAATATACTAGTTATCTCAATAGTATATCTAGTTGAAGAGTCCTACACAATATAAGTGATTTTTAAAGTGTTTTTTAGAGAAAATATTTAATAGTCAAAATATTTTGTAGTGTTTAGAAAAAAGTAATATGTGTGATAAAGTAAAAGTTGATAGTGTTTTATAAAAAGTAGTTTTTGTTTAAACAAATCTTCTTCTACTTTAAACTTTTAAGTTTGAGATGCTTCATTTAAGCACGAAATGTCACTTGAAAATACTCACACAACACATCCAGTTGGAATTATTTAGGTTACTAATTTAGACAATAAAATTATTTGTAAACAAGTGAGTGTTAGAATTTGGGACATACTAAACATTCTTAGAGATTATTGCACATTCCAAGGAGCCATCCTCCCGTATGAGAGAGAGACTCATCAATGACCGTTTTCTCTAGAGTTGTGTTATGAACCTCTTGAGACAATACCCAATGATACGGTTCTTAGAGACGGTAGGAACTTAATGGACCACTCGAAGCGTTTGAACTTACTTGTCCTGAATAGGATTAAAAACGTGAATATGATTAAAAACGTTTTGAAATTCAAAAATATGAATTTCATGTTTTTATTTACTAAACAAAAATAACTTATGTTAAATTTGGCATTATTGGACTTTAAACAAGACAATTTTTTCAAAATTTAGACAAAATTACTCTTATTTAGGGAATGAGAACATGTCAATTCCAATCACATTTTGAAGTTTAAAAACACTTTTAGTCATGTTTAGAAAATGTTCCCAAAAAATTATTGATATTGAACTCAACATTATTAATACGAGTTGACTAGTCAATGACAACTTATTAGCACGTGTGTTGCCGACGATAATTGTCCTTACGTGGGCCAATTTTCTTCCATCTTCATACCCTCTATACGTACATGCCTTAAAGCTGCTTACAAAAATGCTTGAGGTACACACTTTGTGTACACACTTTGTGTACACTCGTCTGTCTCTTAAGAAAATTTTGTCCGTCACAGACAATTCATATATGAGTTGTCTGTGACAGACAAAATTTTTTTAAGAGACAGACGAGTGTATAAAAAATGTGTACACAAAGTGTGTACCTCTAGCATTTCTCTAAAAGTGTGTACCTTCACGGATTCCTCGTCTTGAGAGCTTTCCTTTATCTCACACGCCTTATTTGGACGAGTGAATCTCCAGTTATGGATCAAACAAGCAACCCTGTCTACTGGAAAATGCTTATCTACTACGACCTGCTTCCTACTTCGTATATGACAGTTTTCCCAAAAATGAATTTTGTAAAAAGTCAATTTTGTAAGTCTGGACGGACAGTATATAAATTTGCGGCTGGCATGAGAGTGTGACGCCCACCCATTTGATCAACACAAAATGAAGAGTTCGCTTCCTTTGTTATCATTCTTCCTGATCTCGTCCTTCTTTCATGGGGAGGCTGCAGTTAGGACCGTACTCGACGTCGACGGGAACGGCGTCCAAAGCGGCGTCAAGTATTACGTCGTCCCGGTGAACCACACCCAAGGCGGCGGGCTTGATCTGCTGCGCCGGCCCCCATCTACTCCATGCTATGAGAATGTCGTCGCAGTGCGGCACCCCAAACGGTTAGCGAACGCTGCGTCCTTCTTCCCGGCGGTGGCTCCGAAGAACGGCGTCGTCCAGAACGGGACGGATCTCAACGTCGAGATATTCCCCAGCGGAGCAAACGCAAGAAACTGCTCCAAATCCTCCAGTGTCTGGAGAATCCCGGGCGATCCTGAAAACATCGACACGGATATATACGTCGTGAGCGGCGGAGTGAAGGGGAACCCGAGCCCCGCGACGGCGGTCAACTGGTTCATGATTGTGAAGTCGGTCAACGGGTACAAGTTTATGTTTTGCCCGTTTTCGTTGTGCGACTGCAACCCGGTGTGCCAAGATGTTGGCATCTTCGTGGACAAAGCGGGAAACAGGCTTCTCAAAGTTCAGAGCAGCTTACCCCCTTTGGAAGTCAACTTCGTAAAGGCCTAGCCAGTTACCTGCAAGCTTTCGTGGCGTTCATTCATCATAAATCAATTCATGGAATTGTTACTTGATGCTTCATTTTCGCATTTTTATATGCTAATAAAATGTCAAGAAATATGTTGCTTCAACCCATTTTTATCCACACATTTACATACTACGCATTATCTGTTTTGTTCATGAATGTTAGGGATAGAGTATATGTGGGCCACGACCTACATACTCTTGGACACAGCAACGGATCAAAGCAAACAATTAATTTAAGTATTTTTGGCTTTTTTTAAAAGAAAAAAGCACTTATTTTTCCAAACAATACTAATTTTTACTTTCTCGTTTTTCGTGTAGAATCTACTTTTTACTTTTTCTATTACACAAAAATCACTTATTTTACCAAACACTACCAACTTTTACTACTAATCACTTTTTTCCAAAAAGTACTTTTATTTAAACACAATTATTTGCAAACAGAGTCTAAGTTGCCTGGGTCTCTTAACCGAACGCACTCCAGAATAAAAATATATAGGAAAAGTTCCCGAAATATGACTAAAATAATTTGAAAATTTCAAAATAGAACTATCATGTTTTTTATTCCCAAAATATGAGTAATTTCTGCCAAGTTTGAAAAATACTGTCATGTTTGAAGTCTGGTACTATCAACATGGTAGTATAGTCCTACTTTGAATTTTGGGAATAAAAATATGGCAGTCCTATTTTGAAATAAAAGTCACCGCCAAAATATGAGCAGAATGAATTTTGTCACGGATATTTTTGTCATGGATACTAGGATATTGTTACTAAGACTATATTATTCTATTGTATCTATATTTCTATATTTCGGCTACTTGTAATATTTACGCACATCTATAATATTATACTACGTAATACAAATACAATTCCATCTATTTAATTCTGAAAAACAGTATCCTATCCTATATCTATCTAAAAAGTTTTGAAAGATAAAGTATTTTGGACCACCAAAAGAATTCAATAAGGTTATAAGAAATGTTGAGATATCGTGTTTGAACTTTGAACCATCGATCCAAAAAAAGAAGAAAAATAATGGTTGAAATATTATTGAATTAGTCATCTTACAACTATTCCTAATTAGGAATTATTATCACCATTATATAAATAATCGGGAAATAATAATTATGATTCTAGATGATAATTGTGTGGTTCACAATTATCCTCTAATCCTAATAAGCTTAACTTTTCTCCTATAAATAGGAGTCTTCTCCTTCATTGTAAACACACCATTACAACACTATTATCACACTCTCAATAATACAATCTATCATTAAGTGTTCATACTATACTTTCTCTCCCTAATCTTCTGCTTATTTCCTTCCATATTATAACAATAATGCATTTGAAGAGTAATTAAATGAGCAAGTGGTTATGGCCTTATGGGACACATGGTGGACCAAACTGCCTGCTACATGAATCAATCCTTGGCCACAAGAGAGTAGATATTTTTTTAATCAATGTTTGTGTTAGAATTCCCACACCGGAATGTTGTGAAGAAATTAAGTGCTATATTAAGATCTGTCTACTCCTCCTATTAGGTTGACCTTTTAGGATGAAACCCCATGTCTTAACATGATATGGTATCAGAGCCAGATCGATCCATGGTGTGCACCCCTTATGAAAAAATGATGACATGATTATAAAAATGACAATAACGAATTGATGAAAAAATGAATTACGGCACGATCCAGAAGAAGTGTCTGGTTGTGAGGAGGGGTGTTGAATTCCCACACCAGAATGTTGTGAAAGAATTAAGTGCTATATTAAGATCTGGGCCACTCCTCCTATCAGGTTCACATTTTAGGATGGAACCCCGGGTCTTAACAGTTTGTTCATAAATCATAACCCTTCTTAGTTCTTATGGGTACCATATTAGTGTTATGAGAATTTAGTTCTTATGGGTTTCCTTTCCCTTTGTAGGAGCAGGGGGGTGGAACCCACGTTAGATCAATTCTTTCTCTCCTTCAATCTGTGTCGAGGGGGTCACTCCAACGCTGGGGGCTTCGCCAATCTACAGCAAGTTCCGGAGTGGAGACTATTCTCTGAGGTGTCTTCCTCCCATAAAGGGTGGAAGGATAAGTTTTGTTACATCCGCTTAACGGAGAACCCATTCCCTGCTCCTCTTCGTGATAACTTTCCGAGGCACCCGAAGGTAGGGAGTGCTGCTCTCGAGAATAATGGGAAGAAGCTCACGGTGAAACCGGAGGGGTCCGATAACGTGGTGACTATCAAGGATGCCACGCTTCCGGAGGAGCTGTACCTGCTAGGCTTCCGGCGGTACCAATTGATGGGGAGACGGACGCGAGATACCCCGTGATAGATCGGTTGTATCAGAGTGCCGAAGGTGCTTCCCGAAGGCTGCCTATTTTGTGTACTTAGGAATTTTTCAACTTGTTATAATTCTAACACTTTCTTGTCTTTGCAGGCGAAGCCATGGACTTCAAAACGTTTGCCAAACTAAAGAGGCAACTGGCGAAGGAGCCAAAGAAGCAGGAGGCTTGCAATCAGTAGAGGCCTGTCAACAAATATTTCCCGAAAACTGAAGCTAGCAAAGTTCAAGAGGGTGAGGAGCCCTCGAGAAAAGTTGTTGCTGGCGATAATGCCGGGGGTTCTCAAGCTACTGCGGCGAAGCGGAAGGCGGCGGGCAAAGCTGTGGTGCCCATCGAAAAGAGATAAAGAAAGGGGGCCGTCGGCCAGAAGAAGGCCAGCCCCATCGTCACTGTTGAGGAGCACTCATCCTCCGAGCTCCCGGTAGTGATGGTGACGACTTCCCCTCACTCCCCCTCGGACCAGGTAGGTGAGGGGGCTTGGCCCCGGGAGAACACGAAGTTCTCCATCAAGAAGGGGACCGCCATCATGCAGGGGCACCCTGGATCCAAGGGAGTTCCTGAGGGGTGCCACCCCTTCGTTGGACAGATCAGCCCTCAGCCGTTATGAGGATGACGTCCTCGACTCAAAGATCATTCATGCTGCTGTAAACATGGACGTATAGCAGATAGCTTAGTAGGCTTTAGGAGGGCACATATAGAGTGTTTGTTTCCCTTAAAGACTCCCACATACATTGAGTTTTATATAAAAACCGCATCATTAATGATGTTTTTGTATCATCATTGGCTGAAATGCATTTATGTTGTTGTCCTGATTCTTGGGAGCACACTTGAGATGTGATTCTGCTGTAAATATGGACGCAAAGAAAATAGTAGGCTTTAGGAGGGCTTGCAAGGAGCATTATTAACATCACTCGATATGCATGCGAGCAGGATTATGTAATCATAGTAAACATGCAGTGAAATATGGTATTATATAACTGAATATTTGAAAAAACATGATTTCTTGTTGGAATTGAAAAAAGTCTTTCATTTCAGCAAGCTTTTGTGTTTGAACTTATGATAAATCTGTTTCATTTAGAAAAACAAGGTAGTGTTATAAGTTATTAGTCATGTCTTTTGTTTACAAATGTGATTATGATTTCTGATATAGCAACTTGCATTTTCTATGTATTTAATTGGAAGAAGATTTCATTTTGGTTAATAGATTTATGGCTTGTTTGGCTCTCAGGTTTATGGCTTTCTTTGATTATTTAATACTTCAAAGATTTATGACTTCTTTGATTATTTTCTTCAAATGTCTTGTTTGACTCTATGATTGTTTTAACAAAAGAGTACTAAATTTTACTCTACACCATATTTTGTAGGTGATTGGTGGTGAAGCTACCCCAGCAAATGATAGATCATCAACGGGAAGCCATCAACCGGGAGGAGCTACATAGAGATTTAGTATATTGTTGCATTGGGACTTCTTATTCCGATTTGAATGTTTTTACCTACAAACTATTCTTGTAAACTTTGTTTTTATGCAGTACTTTAAATACTTTTGAATGACTTTCGAGTTTCAATATCAAGAGATTATCCGGTCAATACATTCTTATTATTAATACTAGGACGGAATTTACTCAACAAAAAAAAATACTAGGACGGAATAGATTTATTTATTGCTAGTATATTATGCACTAAAATAAGGGAACATGAATTTCCTTGACACTTGTGTGTCACCAAAAACATTCCTTGACACATAAAACATTGAGAACTCGGTAAATTTCTTGACACACTTATGTGTCACTAAAAGTGTTAAGGGATTTTTTGAGTGTGAAAAAGGTTTTTTCCTAACACCGTTCCTAGTGATACTTTTTGTGTGTGTTGGTAAATCTTCAAAGGATCTATCTTGACACTTTTACTATTTTTCTTGACACTTTTTGTGTGTCATAGAATGTCACTTTGCTTGTAGTTTATCAGAGCCAGATCGATCCATGGTGTGGACCCCCTTATGAAAAAATGATGACATGATTATAAAAATGACAATAACGAATTGAAGAAAAAATGAATTACAGCACGATCCGGACAAAGTGTCTGGTCGTGAGGAGGGGTGTTGAATTCCCACACCGGAATGTTGTGAAAGAATTAAGTGCTATATTAAGATCTGGACTATTCCTCCTATCAGGTTGACCTTTTAGGATGGAACCCCGGGTCTTAACAATTTGTTCATAAATCATAAACCTTCTTAGTTCTTATGGGTACCATATTAGTGTTATGAGAATTTTGAAAAGAGAATTCCCTAAATGGAGCAAAACATAGCAAAATTTTTCAAATAGATGTATTGTCATTTTGTTCTTAAAATAGAATTTATACACTCCTATTTAAAGAGTTTTATTCTTTTGTGTTTAAATAGGACAAAGTATGTCCTATTTTGAAAAGAAAACAATTTTATTACTCCCTTCATATTCTTTTATTTGCTATACTTTGATTTTTGGGATGTATTTTAATTTTTGCTATATTTTTTCTTTTGGTAAGTTTTTCCTTTAGAATTACCCAAGTAACGATATATTTTATATCTTTACATCTTCTCTTTCATGCTATTTTAACGTCTCATATTTCTTTTACACTATTCACTATGGTTACTTGTTTCTCTTAAATATTGTACCAAATTAAACCCTATGATAGCAATCAATAGAATACGGAAAGGATATTATATGTTGCGAAAAAATAATTAAGGACAATGAATGAAAAAGAGATGAAGTTTTAGTTATATCTATGATAATTTTGTCTATAGGAGATATCAAATTAAGTCCAGTAGAACACCAACGGTGCAACTATGTAGTAGCTGGTGAGAGAGACTTCCTTCTATTCATGTCGCCAAGCTTCATCTAGAACATGAGTTCCTCAAATACAGAATGGTTTTTATTCATCCTTGTATAAAAAGAAATGTGACGACATTAATGGATTGTTATCAACAAAAAATCTATAAGTAGTACTTCATTTCAGCAAATGCCATTAATACGTTTACTTATTTGTGCTTTAATGAGCATGAACAAATTAAATATGACAAAATAGTGAATAATGTTACTCCGCACAATTTATTTTTGTGAAACATTTATCAAGTTAAAAGTGTTGCTATATTTTTTCTAGTATGAAGTATCTTTATTAAGTGCGAATTATTCAAATGTGCATTGTACTAACTTCCATACTTAAAAATTAAGATAGGTACTTCCAACGCGGGAAATTTTGAAATCAAGATGAGCTCGAGTGGTCGCACAATCATTATTTACTCTCGGTTCACACGGTGGAATGAAAGCCGGAATCCAATGTATTTTTGACTCATCAATAAAAGAAACTGTCCATTTGGCCCTCGTACTTTTACGAAAAAGTCAATTAGGTCCTCATACTTTAAAAAATCAATCAAATCCCCAAACTTTGTAAAAACGTTCAATTGAGTACATTGAGTACTTTGTCATGTTAGCGGGTTACTCGCTGACGTGGCACACACATGGTGGTCCACGTGTGTGCCACATCATCAACAAATGGTTGACTGGACTTCCATATGTGTAGGGGTGGTTCGGTACGGTATACCGAATATTTCATCGCATACCTTTACCATACCGTTAACTTTCGGTATGCAAAAATACATACCGTTACCATACTGAAATTTTGGTATACCATGCTTCGGTATACCGAAATTTCAGTACGGTAAGGTACGGTATCGGTAAATTACCATGATTTAATATAACAAATAATTATATGTCAAATGAAATAAAGAAAATCAGTGTTAATAGTGAAATCATTAATGAAATCTAAAATCATTGTAAAATTAATTGTAAAATCCAATGAGATAACCTATTTGTGTTCTGTTGAGTTTAATCCAACACGATATAGTAAATATATGTATGAACACTCAGTTTTTACGTGGAAACCCGAAAGGGAGAAAACCACGAGACTTTTTAGGCTAATGTCCAAGCCCTCTCTTTCTCATTAGGACTCTCCTCACCATTACATAGTACAATTTGAGCTCCATTAATGGAGTCTTGCAAAACTATTCTAGGGAGAAGAAGGAAGAAGGAAGGGATATTTTACATGGAGGCTAAGCTCCCTATTTATAGACAAAGGGGAAAGGGTGCTCTCCACCCTAATGGGCCAAACGGGCCAATATTGGGCCTAATGGGCCGAAATGGGCCTAGCTGCTCGGGCTCCGTACTGGATAATGTCTTGGGCTCCTGAACAGTAATAGGCCGGGACAATATATCCCAACATGTTCTATTCAACTTTTGACAAAAAAATATTATAAATATGTATAGATATTTCAACACATGATATATGAAGATAACAACACATTCTGCTAAAATAATTTAAACAACATAAAATAACTAAAATAACACCGACCTCCAACAAAAAGTATAAATAATTCAAGAAACGTGGATATAAAGTCATTTATCCTTGAATTAGTGTTGTGTTTCTAGTTATTTTTACAATTTTAAGGAAACTATTGACTTGGAATTACGGTATGACGGTATAACGGTATACTGTTTATTTCCAAAATATATACCGATACCATACCGAAGTAATTCGGCACGGTATCATACCGTACCAAAAGCGTCGGTATACCAAACATTTCGGTAAATTCGGTATTTTTCGATATGGTAAGTTCGGTATACCGAAATTTCGGTATTTTCCCCACCCCTACATATGTGTGCCACTTCAGCAAAGTTACTCCTGATTGGGTTGTCACATGTGCGCCACATCAGTGTGACTTGCTGACATGACAACTTACCTACAAATGGACGCAATTGAATGTTTTTATAACCTAGGAAGATTTGATTGACTTTTTGAAAAATACGAAAACCTAATTGATTTTTTCATGAATATCATCGACACTTTTACATCAATAATTACGATTTTCTCTAGAGGGAACCTCCCGAGAGAATATCCAATGATACAGTTCTTATAGACGGCACGAACCTAATCTATGGACCATTCGACGGGTTTGGGTTTACATCACCACGGATGAAGGATCAACTATGGCCGGCTGCAAAAAAATTTATTGATATTGATTTCAACATTATTAATACGAATTGACTACCCAATGACAACTTATTATTAGCACATGTGCTGCCGACGACAATTGTAGTCACCTAGGGCGCTTTTGTTGCACGTTCATTTTCTGCAAATTTTATATTTACTCCAGTTTTAGTACTTGACTAACTTTTTTGAGTATTCCTGATTCTTATCTTATCTGATGATTTTAACCACTCCAAACATTCCCAAACACGTACATTAAACGTAGATTAAGACCTCATTTGGTGACTCTGTTTTTCGAATTATCATGTATATCAATCAACTATTTAATCAAACACGTAACTATTAATTTCGTAATAGTTGGAGTTACTTTTCTAACTATATTGGGTGAATTTAGTGTGGATGCAATGTTCTAAAACGCGCCAAAAGGCGCCGCTTAAGCGGGCCTAGGCGTGAGGCGCGAAGCAAACGCCCCGCCTGCCAATAACGCGTGACAATAGGCGGTCAACTGTGCAGTTGACCAATTCGGCATTCATAAGCGCCCGCCTTTTGATATCAAATTTGATCACGCGAGAGTGGGATGGGCAAGTCTTCACCGGTGATGCTACGCTTTATTTATAACTAAACGGGATAGAGAATATGGATGTAGTTCCGGTGTGGGACTTTTGTTCAATGTAGTGGAATGCGAATGCCATACACATTTACGTTTTTATATTGGAGTGAAAAATCATTCGGTGTGGGACATTTTTACTAGTATATGGTGTAATAAGAAATCCCTCTATTTCAATACTCCGTACTATTTTATTGTTGTTGGAATTCATGTTATATTGTTATTATTAATGTATTTTACTGTTATCATGATCATTTATCAACCTTCTTACCGTTGTTATTCCTAATAAGTTTTTTCTAAAATATTATGGTAATGAAATTTAAGAATGAAAAATATGTGTAAAAGTAATTGTGAATATATTCTTCTATTCACTGTAATGAAAAGTTTGAATGTGATTATAGTCACTAAAAATTACTAAATCACATTTTTATTTATTCCCCTTATTTTTGGTCATATACTAAGTATTAGACATTTTTTATTTTTATTTATAATATTTTTATTATTATTAAACTACTTTATCAGTTCTATTTTTTGTGTAATTGTTGTGTAATTGGTAATTTTATACTCCATATTGTTTAGATATGGGGCGCAACAATTTTTTTTTGGTAAAAAATTTGAAAAGTATGATGTTTTTTATTAAAATTAATTAACATTAAATTTTAATATTTAAAATAGCTCTAGAAATATTAAAATGACGAATAAAAAATCAAAACGCCTTTTCACGTCTAAGCCCCGCCTAATCTCGCCTAGGCTCCAAAGGCTTAAGGCTTGGCAGTGCCGCCTCGGCACGCCTTACGCCTTTTAGAACATTGTGTGGATGACCATTTTACATATTTTTTTCATATAATTTTTTTTTTATTTTATAAATACTCCGTAAAATACATTTCAAATATAATTTTTTTATAAATCAGCGGAATAGACTAATACAACCGTTTTATTAGAAATTTATAAATTTCAACAAAACCTGTAAATTGTTCCGATTTCATCGTTACCAAATTAGTTCTACACGTGGAATTTATTCCGTGTTCAAAGTTCAAACCCTCTACAAACGTACACGCCTCTGTAAAGCTTGCTATATATATATATGCGGCGTCCGAATCCGACTCACACCAACTCATCACTCAACACAAAATGAAGACTTCTTCTCTTGCATTGTCATCAATCCTGCTCTCTCTCTTCCTCTCCTCTTTCTTTCATGGAGAGGCTGCACTGTCCGTACTCGACGTCGCCGGGAACGCCGTCCAAAGTGGCGTCAAGTATTACGTCGTCCCGGTGAACCAGACCCAAGGCGGCGGGCTCGATCTGCTGTCCCCAACCACCGCATGCCAGAGGAGCGTCATCCAAGTGGGCCCCAAAGTGACAGGCGACGCCGTGGTCTTCACTCCGGCGGTGGCCACGACTAACGGCGCCGTCGTGAACGGGACGGATCTCAACGTCGAGATATTCCCCAGCGCCGCAAACACCGGAAAGTGCTCCAACGTCTGGAGAATCTCCGGCAACGATCCTGAGAACGTGGACGTCGCTCAATTCGTCGTGAGCGGCGGCGTGAAGGGGAACCCGGGCAGCTCGACGGCGGTCAACTGGTTCATGATTGTGAAGTCGGTCAACGGGTACAAGTTCAAGTTTTGCCCGGTTTCGTTGTGCGACTGCAACCCGGTGTGCCAAGATGTTGGCATCTCCGTCAACAAAGCGGGAAACAGGCTGCTGAAAGTTGACCTGAGCTTACCCACTTTTGAGGTCAACTTTAAGAAGGCTTAGCTAGCTAGCTGCTAGGTTACGTGGCATTCATTCATAATAAATAAACTCATGCAATTAATTGGATGCTTCATACATGCATCAATAACACGTACAATACTAGCTAAGCTAGCTTAGTATTTTGTATGTATAAGGGAAAAGTACTAGCCAGTAGTCTAGCTAGTCGCAGCATGAAATGAAATAAAACTACTTTGTATATAGGATATGATCATATAAATGGTGTTTCTACTCTTTGCTTCCATTAGTAATAAATTGTGTTTTGGGAGGTAGGTACATGGCCACATGGGTATATATGTACTCTGTCTCCCTTACTTAATTCCCCAAGCACAACTATGGTTGTGTGGTGCTGGTGGTAGCCCAGCGGTGACGGGCAGCCGGAGGCGGTGAAGTCTACATTAACTTGTACTATAGCTACTCCGTATATTTTTTTTCATTTTTAACATAGTATATCTAGCTGAAGACCCCTACACTAGCTACATCAAGGTATATCTGCATTTTTTTCTACTTTTAATAAGTGATTTTTAAAGTTATTTCGGAGAAAATATTTAATAGTAAAAGTTAATAATGTTAAAAGAAAAATGTAATGTTTGGAAAAAGTGAAAATCGATAGTGTTTTGTCCAAAATTATTTTTGTATAGCAAAAAAAGTAAAAATCAATTCATTTAGATTTGTGTAAAAAGTAAAACTCGGCTCGTTCTACTCTAAAGTTTTAGATTTGAAGTGCTTCAATTCATTTAAGCACAAGAATGTCACTTAAAAATACTCAACTCACTCTACGTACATGGTCTATTTGAATTATTTAAACTAGTAATTTAGACAATAAAATTATTTGAAAGTGAGGGTTGAGACTAACGTACCAAGTGGCCGATCGGCCCGATCCCCTCTCGTTTTATAAAATGTTGTAAAATGCAACTATGTGAATTTGGTTTAGTATTTAATGTAGTTTATTGAAAGAATACACATACTCCATTAGACATTAGTTGAATAAAAGCATTTGATTTTATTTTGAAAAGTAATTTTGATGAATATATAATATAACGAGGTCATTGATAATAACTATGATACTGTAAACATATTATTTGTAATATTCAATATTTAAATTATCATTTAAGAATGCTATTTATTTCCTAACGTAGAAATGAGAAGCTTTAAATTTTTAATTGGGACATCTAAAAGAAACGAGTGAGAAACTTGAATTAGGACACAAAAGAGGTGTTTGGCAATTGGCTGTTAGTTGTTGGCTGTTGATTTTGTTGGCTGATTAGTAACAACAGATTATGTTGGTTGTTTTGATTAGTTGATCATAAAACAATGTTTGGTTAAATAATAATTGGGATAAGGGTCAGTTTGGTCCTCGAAGTTGCAAAAAAGGGGTTAAATAAGTCCTTATATAGAAGATTCTATCCAGACGTGCCATTTGAGGTGGCTCCCGGTGGAATTTTTTGATGAAATTTTTTTAGCATCTTATTCATTGAGTCTAGTTTAGTCATACCAAATTTCAGATAAAAATTCAATCGGAAAGACATTCAAATGAATTCTTGAAGATAACTGTGCCGTTAAAAGCGTTGTTATCTTTAAGAATTCATTTGAATGTCTTCCCGATTGAATTTTTAGCTGAAATTTGGTATGAGTAAACTAGACTTAATGAATAAGATGTTCAAAACAATTTATCACAAAATTCCACCGGGAGCCACCTCAAATGGCACGTCCGGACAGAATCTTCTATATAAGGACTTATTTGACGCCTTTTTTGCAACTTCGAGGACCAAACTGACCCTTTACTCAATAATAATTGCTTACAATCAGGTGATAATTTGTTAAATGACTATTAAGAACAACATTTAATTTTTAATTGACGAATAAATACAACCATTTGGACCGTTTTTATGCTTTAGTTAAATTGAAATTAAACTAATTAGGCTGCTCTCTTCATTCCCTCCCACAGGACTAATTGAAATTAAATTGTAGAAAAAAGCAAACAGAATATTTTATTAAATGGACACGTGCTCAGTTGCTCCCTTGGTTGTTGCTACAGTGCTACTTTTCTCTTTGGCAGAAAAGTAATTAGGCTAGCGCATGGTTTCCGTTTTACTAAAAGAAAAAAGCATGACACCCCATCCCTGAGTAAAAAAGTACCGACTGGATGGCACGATGGAAAGATGTAAATCGGACTATAATCACAATATGACAGATAGAGAGTGAGGCTCCATCCCCGGTACTTGCAGAGGCCCTATGCATTTTTAGTATAATAATCTCTCATCGTAGTTGCCGGAATTCGAACCCGGGACCTAACCCTTATGACACTTCCTCGCTACCAGTTGAGCTACGCCAACCGGTGGTTTCCGTTTTACTCAATCGTGTGGGGTGGGCAGTAAAGGAATATTGGTAAAAATAGAGGAAGGTCATTGGTAATAGCGTTTCGTATTTCGACCATTTGGATGAAAAAGCCAAATGAAACTGTTGTTTAACCAAACACCTTATTAGCTGATTGATCTCGTCAAAAAGCTAAATCTTAGTCAAATCAGCCAAAAAATGAGTGATAGGCTCCTAACCAAACACCCTCAAAGATTACTACTCCATATTTTTTTAGATTTTAATGGTAAAGTAACTCGAGACCAAAATTAGCTAAAGGGTGGTGCATTAGCCCAAACTGGAATGAGGCCAAAAATAAGCTCAAGTCTAAGGGAGTGTTTGCAACTGCTTCTGCTTAAAAAAAAGCACTTTTGGAGAAGTAATGAAAAAGTGATTGGTAGTAAAAGTTGATAGTGTTTGAGAAAAAAGTGATTTTGAAAAGTAAAAGTTGGTAGTGTTTGGTAAAATAAGTGCTTTTTGTGTAATAGAAAAGGGAAAAGCACTTTTCACACGCAAGCCGAGAAAAAGTAAAAATTGGTAGTGTTTGGTAAATAAGTGCTTTTTAAAGCCAAAAGCTGAGAAGTGCTTTTTTTTAAGCAGTTGCAAACACTCCCTAAATACATGAGCGGATAGAGTCACTCTTGCCCCACACTCACGGGCTATATATCCCCAAAAGATGTGGTGGAAGTACGATTTGCCGAGAAAGGGCTGACCGGACCGAGTCAAATAATGTTGTAGGGCGTGCAAGATATGGGCATGCCATCTCTAGGCATAATCCGGAGTAGACCACAAAATCAAATCCGACTCGGAAGAATTACATACCGGACCCATCTTTGGTCGAATGATTTGTGTGATTCCGTTTCCAGCCCGGTTCAATACAAAATCTAAGAATATTTCGATCTGATCTGAACCATTTGCACCAAATTTAAATATTACTCTCTTCGTCCCACTAAGATTGTCCCATTTTTTCTTTTCGGGAAATCCCACCAAGATTGTCACATACCAAATTTGATAAAGTTTGTGTGACTCTAAATCATTCTTACTTTATTTTCACTTTATCAATTCAATATCAACAACAAAGGTAGTACTTTGTATCTTTATCGTTATTATATAAAGTAGTAAAGTTGCTTCACTTTTTAGGGGCAAAATTTCCGCTCATTTGAAGGATATAATTGGAAATAAATGTTGAATAAACAATAAATATATATGGGCGGCAGCCAATTACTAATAGATACTCGTTACTGTCGTTAAAAATTAAAAACCGCACAAATATAGATATTGTTGGGTTAAGGGCCCAAGCCGAGGTCCGGCCCACTAACCCATTTTTCCAGACGAACGTCCAGTTAGAACACTAGGCCAGCCCACAGGCCCATGTTCCATGAGGATGGACGAACGTCTGGTGTTGGGGGCTCAGGCCCAGCGGCTCATCCCGACGAACGTCTGTGCAGGGACAAGGAGCAGGGCCACGGGCCACCAGGGATGGCGACGAACGTCTCCGGGGCAAGCCTGCAGTCATCGGAGAAAACCCAGTGCACATGGTGAGTATCTATTAATGCCAGGAGACGAACAGCCAATATCTCTCAAGGGTCACTTGGAGCAATCCAACTCACTTCCCGGGTGGACGAACGTCCCCACTGATCCGGCGGGAAACCTAGATTCTGGCGGGAAGTGCATTTAATGCTAAAGATTTGGTAGTTGGGACACCAGCGGTCCACAGGCTGCCACGTCAGTACAGCCACCTGCCCATTGGCGGGTATAAATAGAAGCATTTATTTCATTGTAAAGGGTTGGCAACTTTCTATTCTCAGCATACTAGCTTCAGCATTCTTACTGGCAGCATTTCTAACCGTCTTGTAAGACGAACGGCCGACGTGCCTTTTTTAGCAAGTAGATTGTACTTAGGGGAGTTATTACGGAGTTAATAATACCTATTTATATTGCCTGCTATTACTCTTGTTTCCTGATCCATCTGATAGTTGTTGGGCTAGACATTCATACACTCACTCCACTCGAAATCTTTGGGCTTACGTGTTGGGTCCAAGGGTTGAAGGAATAAACTTCAACACTGGCGCCGTCTGTGGGAAACTGAGCAAAAAGTTTCCAGAAACTCTCCCAAACAGCTACTGAGTCTACCTACAGCAAACACGATGTCAGGAAGCAACAACCAGCGTGATCTCTCCGAGCGTCTGGAGTCGAGCCGCCGGAATCGCGGCCAGAACTCGGAACTATCCGCAACAATATGGACTTCAGGGGGAAACGGGGGTATCACTGACCTCATTCCCCTGGAGGCCAGGCAGGATCCCCGCCTCATGCGTGAACTCGCAGATACCATGCGTCGCATGGCGGACGAGCGGGAGGCCCGAGATCAGGTGTACTCTGCAAGCACCCAGCGAACGCCCCTCTCTCCCATACGCCGCATGCAGTCGTATGATGATACGACGGGATCCAGTGACCACCGGCCCTCAGTCCACGAGCGGCTAGGTGGGGGTTCAGGCTCCCGTGAGACGGGAGGGCGGACCAGGATCAGCATCGCTGCATCCAGAGCTCTCACGCCGTCGGTTCCTCGCCAGATTCCGCGGGGAGACGAGACCCCAAGGGTCAACACCGTTGGACGACGTTTCCAACGGCGAGGTGCGCAGATCTTCAGGCGGCCACACGATGCTGTGGCCGCTCAGCAGAACATCACCCCCGAAGCCGTGCCCCCTGTGTCCCCCGGAAGGGTCGCACAGGACGCACGGCTGGAAGCCATGGAGAGGCAGATAGCCGAGATGAATAGGCGGGCGGACGTCGGCTCGGCCACACCCTCTTTCTCTCTCACATCACCCTTTACTCCACGGGTGATGAGCGCCGAGATTCCCCGGGACTGCAGGCCCCCGGGAAACTTGGTGTATAATGGGGCTGGCGATCCTAAAGCCCACCTGATCAGCTACCAAGGGAACCTGTCCATGCTGGGAGCATCGGACGAGGCCATCTGCAGATTGTTCTTTAGCACCCTCAGAGGGCCGGCGCAAGAATGGTTCGGCCAGTTGAGGCCGGGCACCATTGACTCATACGAGCAGCTCTCTCGGCAGTTCATGGCACAGTTTGCTGCCAGCACCACCCCCAGGAAGGACGTCACGGCTCTCGCCCACATCAAACAAGGGCGAGACGAACCGCTGGCTAGGTTCCTGGTAAGGTGGAGGAACGAGGTCCTGCAGGTCGACGATCTGGACGAACGTCTGGCCACCAACATGTTCACCAGCGCGCTGGTCACAGGGGACCTATATCGGGACCTGAGGAGGAATCCCGGCACCAGCTACACCGAGGTTTTGGCTCGGGCACAAAAGTATGCCTCCATTGAGGAGGAGATCAGGCAGCGGGACGGAGTTCCCGCGGCCCAGCCTAGGAAGATGGCGGACAGGCTCGGACCTAAACCGGGACCCGGGCCCTCACCCCCAAACAAAAAGAAGAGGATGGACGGAGCGATGATCCCGTGGAAGGCTCC